GATAGCACGTCGACACGTGCCCCAGGACCTTCTTGGATATATTTCTGCCCCAGCACGACGCGGCTGGTCCCGGTGCTTTATAACGCCGTAGCCTAAGGGCCAACGGGTCTTCCAGAAGAAAAACGACGCTGGCCCTTGGCTTCCTCCGACAATACGAAGTTCTGGACCTTGGCACCACGATGGGGTGGCAGGCATTGCCAAGGAATCTCTGTCTTCAAAATCCATGTCATCATCATCATAATAATAATCATTGACTTCGCGTGCACGCNAGGGTAGTTGGGAGGCCAGAACGGTGTGTACCCATTCATTGGTTCTGATCCATAAAAATAATACGAGCCACGGTAAAATGGAACACCTCTGCCGTCACCTGTTCCCTGTGCAAAAAGTCCACTGTTCCATTGGTACACACAATTAAGTGAACCCAGACGATTCCCTCGTTTGCACCTTTTGGTGGGGTCCGGCTCAAAGTTGATGCTGTACATTGCATCCCCACCCATGTACGTGACTGCCAGACTACTGAATTGGGCCATCCCAGCCTTCATCTGGTCAGTAATGGCATTTTGTGCAGCAGTTGACTGACCGGAGGGGAGTAATCCACCATTCATATTACACGCTGTCACGGTATTACCGTAAGTGACCGTCTTACCGGGTAGAGTGGCGAATACACTGAGAGGAAGTGTGAAATACCGCACAATGTTAACTTGAACACTTCCCTCCGCCTCTGCCGTGAACTGCGGGTGGTGGCCCAGGTGCTGCAGAAGCATACAGAGCGACACCCACAACACCGCGGTGCGGACAGCAGCAGCTGTTCTCACGTGAACACCACCAGTCATTGCTTGAGCCTTAATATCTGGAACTTATCACTAACATAGAAAGAAGGGATAAATAAGAAATACGTTACACGCAGAAAACATAATATAGACTACACAGAGAGGTGTCCAGAGGAAAACATAGATTCAATAAAATCATATTTATTCTATAAAAATATTTCCCCACCATTTTTTCCGTGTGCAACATCGTGCACAATAATTCTGGAGTTCTGCGCCTACCGCATTTACAATAGAAGCAGAAAACCATACAAATAAAATTTCAGACATACTAAAACAAGGTACAAATAATAGATAATCACATATTAATTACCCCAGCACCCTTGTCACACATTGGATGCAAAAAAAAAAAAAGGAGGGGGTCCTATCAACTGTTCGTTTTCTTATACACATTCATTATGGCAATGATGGGGAAATAGGCATTACCAGTGCACTGCCCCACCACAAAACACACACTATGACAGTTAGGCTCATTATTGTCTTTCTCGCAGTTTATCCCTTTACCCGTTTCTCTCAAGAAGTTCGCTCTTGCTGCTTCCCTCTTCACAGAGGGTATATGCAAGCAGGTTGTACAATCAACAGTCACACTTTATGGCAGAGTGGAAAAACCACAATTAAAACAAGAAAAGCCAAAAACTTAAAAAAATAAAATAGAAACACCAACAGAGAGGGAAAAAAGTCATTTATTAGATATGCACATGCTTAAAAAAGTGAAACATATTCTGTTATTGGGGTTGTTGATTCACCTTCAGATTTGCTTTATGCAGAATATTTTTACCGGTTGCCCTGCGAGAATACATCTCCATCACCGTAAATATCATTCTGTGCAACCGAGTACACGGATACGTTCTCCGATTCAATATCTTCCGTTGGCATCGGTTCTGATGGAACCATGGACATATCTCGGTCATCATCAATATCATTATAATAATCATCATCGTCATCAGTGATTTCACGTGCACGCAGAGGCATATCACTGGCCTCTCTAGTAGCCATTGGATATAGGTACTTGTCTTCGCCACCGCCACCAAGACAACAACACAGTATAATCAGTCCAATGATAGCGGCCAGCACAACCAAAGCAATGATCAGAGGGACATACCAATGCTTCTTGATCCATGATGGCTCTGATGCTGCCTGTGGAGGCGGGGTTGTGGGAGCAGTAGTAGGAATAGGAGTAGGAATAGAAGTGGGAGCAGAA